GTTGTCAGCAAACGAACAGGTAGCGCAGAATCAAATATATTCTATTTACGCTCCAAGTACACACATTACTCTAAAGTAGAGACTCCGGGAGAAACCAATAAAGATACAAAATCTAAATCGGTGCCTTCCAACCTATTTATAGCAAACGACTATTTTTGCCCCCTTCAAGACATAAAGTGATAGATATAAAAAGAGGCAGTACATCGTATGTGTGATGTGATAAGCGAATGTAAAAATTCAAACAAGTTCAATATTCTAAATATTTTACATAATATAGTATTCTGCTGCCAAAAAGTTCTACAGAAATACAACGATGATATTGTAATGGCTAAAATAAATCCAATAACATGAATCGAATCCCGAAAATTTGAAACATCTCAATGAATGCCAAAAATGTAAATCAAAAAGGCTTTTATATACGGCTGTGTATACAGGGCAGTGACTAAAGACATTGGAAACGTTATAGAACCATTATGCAGTATTTGAAGAAACCCACGTTGACCGCGAGCTGTAAAAAACACAATTAAGAATCTTGAAATAAACACAATTTCTGGAATATTTAATAGATACAAGGACCATATACATCTAGCTCTCACTAAGAGAAATGGATGAAAAGGAATTGGAACCTACAAGGTGATTTTTTTTTTAATTTACAATTTTTGGGGTTAATATTTTCCTCATCACTAGAACTTTGGGTTTTAAATTTGTACTCAACATTTTGAAGATAAAAGGAATTTGACTGATATTCATTTTAGATAAATCCAACTTATAGTTTTGCCCTTTATAGCGCGTATAAAAACCAAACCCATTTTCAGCTATGTACCCATTTTTGAAACATTACACACTATTTCGCAAACGTCTCCACGATTGCACCACTTATTGCAAACTACAATAGACCAACAGGACGACAAAAGTTTGTAGACATTGTTTCTCTTAAGTTTTCTTTTCCTGCTGAGATCATGGTCAGTAAAAGCAAAGATCTTTTCGTATTAAACATTAGCTTGCCAACAGTTTAACTCATTTAGTAAATTTTGCACGAGGAATTGAAACAATGTTAAAGTGCCATTGAGGCCTTCTCTGATGTCATGGGTGGAGATGTTCAATCAGAAATGACATAAAGTGAATCAGAACAAAACGTTCCTAGTCAAAAAGACCACTTCAGGTCAAACACACACCATTCGCACCTATGTAAACGTCACTAGGATACATATTCAGGAGAAAAATCCCATGAAACGTCTGTAAGTAGACAATGTCTGCATCAAGGACGTTCCTACATCTCAATGGTCCCCATTCTGAAGGCAGATCTTCATTTATGAATGTACAATTTTCCTGTTCCCGAAGCTTACATGGATAAGGGGATAACAATAACATTATGCACATGATTCCTAGATCGTCTTGACAAGAGTGAAAATTTCCTCGATGACATTTGGTTCCTTGGCAAAGCCTATATTCACCTTTTAGGATATGAAAACTTCACCAACGCTGTCCCCTATTGTCTCTATAAATAACTCCATACTGTAATATGTACAGGGTGTGCGGCTTAGAGCAATTATGAATGGGTGGATCCTTGTGTTTGGCCACCATTAGACATTACGAACAACTCTTTAAAATGTGTTGAGTCTAAAGGAGGACGTAGAGAGCACTGGCTCTAGGAATTTTAGAATTTAAAAAAAAGCCCTGTAAGAGGAAATAAATTGCTTAAATGTTACAGGCATGAAACATTTAAGGAAGAAATATTGTTAAAAACAATCATTTTCTGACTTTCCTTAAAAGGCCTTTTGGATGAATTATATCTATTCCAAATCACACAATATGCGAGATATGCAGAAGAGAGTTGTTACGTTGTTGTTGTGTGTTTGTTTTTGTTTTTTTCGTTTTTTTTGGGGGGGGGGTGTTTGTTCTCCTGGATTTCATCATATATTATTTTGCCATCCCCAGGGTGCTTTCTCAGCACTTGTGGTGGGCTTCATCACTGGCATCATCAGGTTCGCAATCCAGTACTCCTACCAGAGTCCTCCTTGCGGAAGCGAAGAGCCTGACCCGACGCCTGCCATTGTCAAAGATTTCCACTATTTGTACTTCGCCATCTTCCTATGGGCCCTCACCACGGTGGTAGCTGTTGTTGCTACGCTGCTTACTAAGCCGGTGGATGAAAGATGTGTAAGTGTCTCCGTGGTTTCGTCGAAATCATCGTTGCTGTTGTTGTCGTTTTAGCTGCTGCTTTTGTTGTTGGTTTTGTTATCATCATCATCATCATCATCATCATCATCATCATCATCATCATCATCATCATCATCATCATCATCATCATCATCATCTTCGTCGTCGTCGTTATCGTCGTTGTCCTCGTAGTAGTCGTCTTTAACAACCATAGAAACGTCTACCAAAATAACAACAACAGACAAAAACTACTGTCAGGGCGGCAAAGGGAACTACAAAGAAAGAAAAAGGAGTAATAATATGATGATGACAAAGTATAGTTTGATTAAAACACATTCAAAATGTCACCACTGTTGCTTTTGAAAATGCTATTTTTGTCTCTATTTTCTAATTTCACTGTATCCCTTTCTCAGAAGGCGCGCCGATTGCTCTGTTGGTATCATGCTGGACCACAGAAAGGAGGACTCTCTGATTCAAATCCTCAACTGGGCGCTCTGAACTTGATTGCTTTTTTCGGGAGGGGGGAAAGGGGGGGGGGGGCTAAGAATATCTTCACTTCTTTGGTTCGGTCCATGCTGGACGTTAAGATCGTAAAAAACTTGACAGTTTTGAAAGGGGCTTTAAAGTTAGCCTATACAAATTCACAATTTTGCAATGAATTACTTTCACAGATCCAACGTTTGACGTGGCCCACTCGCCACAGCAAAGAGCCGAGGCTAGATATCGATAAATGGCTAGCGGGCCGGTCAGATCGCAAGCTGAATGTCCGGACAAATGGCACTCGTGATGACAGTGAGCTGAAGGAGATGAAGGCAAATCGAGGTTGGTGTTTCTGGAAGGTTGAAGTACACGTACATGTACTTATGACGTCGAAAAAGTAATTGCAACTACTACTGAGTACAAAAGGTGACGTCAGTGGCCATGTGGTTTCGCTACCGGACTCGTAATCGTAAGATTGCGGGTTCCGGGGTTCGAGTCTCAGCTCGGTCCGACGTTGTGTCCTTGGGAAAGGCATGAATTTCCCACTTGGCTCTGTCCTTTCGGAGATAGACGTTAAACTCGGAGGTGCCTCCTCTTAAATAATCTAACAGTGTTGGTAGGGGGCTTTAAATCTCTTCCATTTCATCATTCATGGAGTACAAACTGTTTTCTTTCGTGTTGCTTTGTCTTTGTTTTTGCTTTTGTTATTTGTGAGGCAGCGTGGTGGAATCAGGCTCTCGTCAAATTTTTGGCATGTAGAGTTATTGGTATTATCTTAAAACTTGTTCACTTGTCTTTATTTGTTTGAAAAAAAAATCTATTTATCTTGAATACAAGTAGAGATATTTGTGAATGAAGGAAGATAAGAAAAGATAAGATAAGATAGTACTTTTTTTATCCCAGAGTGAAATTTTCCTTGGCTGTACAGGACCGTAAAAACACATGCAGGTATACATAAAAAAAAATTAAATTATATATATTACTCTCATTAAAATTCAACACGAAACGAGAAGTAAAGCTGACAAAATGTACATTTACATCAAATGCATCATTCAACCACATGCATGAATTCAAATACCAGACATTTGGAGTTATATACAGATACATACTCTAAGAGCAACACTCATCTATGCTCATTCTGACAAAAGCCTTAAGCTAGATGGTAAAAAAATTCTTTTATATCTTTCTTTCTTGGTTTTTGGAGGTACATATCTGCGGCTGCGTAATCTTATAATTTGTGTGGAAAAGGGATGTGATGGGTCGTTTATAATACTTTTTATCTTTTTTATACGTGTGGTGTTATACATCTCATCTATTCTATTAAAATCATATCCAGAGATCTTGCTGGCTGGGGGTCACCTGTTTTTAGAGGTAAAATTAGTAAGAAAATAGATGCCAAAGTTTAGTTATTTCCTTAGCTTAAGAGTCCGTGGTAACTGAACATTTACATTTCTTGTGCTTTTAATCAACGTTTTCCCGCAAAATCCACACCGAAATGAGTTCTTTAATGGACATGAAAGGTGTTGAGCCAAAAAAAAAAAAAAATCATAAAAATCATAAACCTGCGGAAAAATGCAAGTTTCTGCACTTTGATTATTTTGACCAGAGCCTGATTCCACCACGCTGCCTCACATTTTGTTTTAATAAAGAGAATAACATTGATCGACACAATCACAGTCATATAGAGGTGGGATACAGTAAAACAAAGAGACATAAACAATCTTTTAAAGGGCGGGGGTGTGGGGTTGGGGTTTGGTGGGAGCAGTACCTACTAGTGGGGGCTTCTAATCACCTGCAACCGAGTACAGGGATTTGAAGATTTGGGGTAAAATCTTTCAGAAAACAGTTTAAGGGACTGGCGCTTTTGTTCCACTAAAAGGACAATATATTTAGGTCACGATTGTTGGTTGGCTTGTTCGTTGTTTTAAAATTATTATTTTTTACGGAAACAGACGCAAAAGCATCAAGTACAGTATATGGTGTGACAATGTCTAGTTTATAGGAACGATTCACTGCTTAATTAACCCTGAAAGCGATAAAATCGTGCTCTGACGTGACTCACGATCAATAAAAGAGCCAGTTAAATTTCTCTCTCTGTATCTCTCTCTCTCTCTTTCTCTCTCTCTCTCTCTCTCTCTCTCTCTCTCTCTTCTTTCTATCTCCCTATCCATTTATTTATCTATCTATCTCTCTTTCTCTCTCTATCCCTTTCTGTCTCTCTCTTTCACTCTCTCTCTCTCTCTCTCTCTCTCTCTCTCTCTCTCTCTCTCTCTCTCTCCCTCTCTCTCCTACTTATCCACTCTATCCGTTTGACTCATCCACTCTTTCTCTCTTTCTCTCCCCTTTCCACACTCCAATAGTCTCTCTTTCTTTCTCTCTCTCCCACTCTCGGACTCTCTCTGTCTGACTCATAATCATCCACTTTTTCTCTTTCTCTCGCTTTGCCGTTCTCTTTTCTACTCTCTCTCTCTTCTCTCTCTCTCTCTCTCTCTCTCTCTCTCTCTCTCTCTCTCTCTCTCTTTCTCTCTCTCTCTCTCTCTCTCTCTCTTTCTCTGTTACCACCCCTAAGCCCCTCACTGGAGTGTGTTTAGCTTCCTACAGACTTAACACAATGACTTAAGTGGGTGGGGTTAGGGGTGTTGAGCTGGTTATTAAACCTATCTCGGTAACTATGGCTTTTCAGATAAAGTCTTATAGCATGGAGGTATAACAGGAAAACATCTAAAAAATGTAACTTTAATTTTTTTGTTTAAGAATACGGTGGCCGTGGTAACGGCCGCCATATCGAAAATAAACAGCTTTCATAAAAGTAAAAAGAATTTAATATTTACCAACCAAATTTAACAAATTTGGTACTTTGATAAATATACTCAATACATAATTTTATACTGTTGGGATCTTGGATATCCTGAAGAGGAAAAAAGTTCGAGATGGATAACTGACCTACCCTTTCATGCGTCTGAATTCAATTACAGAATCATCCATGTAATTCCCTTGTGAATGCATCGATTTTATCTTCCACCTGTATAAAGTTAGGTTATGGTATAAATTACAAGCCCTGAAAATTTCAATGGGATCAAAAAGAAAATAAGAAAGTAGATGAGAAAAAAACATCAAAAATTGAAAATTTGAGAAAAACGACATTTTGTTACATGATAAGCAAAATATAAGTTCTAGGACAGAAAATCTGAAAGATGATAATGTAACACAAAGAGTAAGCACTTTTTAGATTTACAAGAGATTTGAGTATTATAATACGTGAAAAGTCCAGATATCATAAACTGACCCAAAATCGTCAATTTAAAACCAGCCCCCCCCCCCACCCCCCTTTTATCCCTTTTTGGAGGGACTCTGACACCTTGCACTTAAGACAGTGTCCTGAATGAATTCCCCTTCTTCGTCTTTACTCTTTCTAATGGGCGTGATCTGCATGTAAGATGACCTATTGTGATAAGTAGAGTGTTAGTAACCCCCTCCTCACTACTTTTACCTCTGTCTGTCTGTTTGTCTGTCTGCCTGCCTGATTGTCTGTCTCTCTGTCTCTCTCACTCTTCCTCTATCTCTTTTTCTCTTTCTCTGTTCCCTCTCTATCTTCCCTCTCTCTCTCCCCCTCTTCCACCCTCTGTCTGTCTGTCTCTCTGTCTGTCTGTCTCTCTGTCACTTTCTGTCTCCCCCCCCCTCTCTCTCTCTCT